CCGGACCTGGACTTTTCTTTGCCGGTAGGTTTTTAATTACATCTCGTATTTCATTGGCTGTTATTGGGCTATTGAGAGTGGTTATATCTTGTCGATTTAGTTGTGGTATTTGTACCCTTCTAGGAATCTATCCATTTCTTCTGTGGCTTCTATTCTGTGAGAGTAAAAATTCTCAAAATAGCTATGGATAATCTTCTGAATTTCCACTGGGTCTGTGTTAATTACACCCTTTTCTTTCCTTATTGCTTGTATTTGATTTTTTTCTTTCCTCTTTTAATGAGATTAGCTTGGGGCTTATCAGTTTTATTTAATCTTTCAAAAAACCAGCTTTTTGCTTTTTTAATTCTTTCAATTGTTTTCTTCATCTCAATTGAATTAATTTCAGCTCTAATCTTTATGATTTCTTCCCATCTTTGGGCTCTGGGTTTGTTTGTTTTTCGTTTTGCAGGTGTTGAATGTGCAGCAATAGGGTATTTATTTGTTTTTGTTCTGTTTTTCTTGTGTGAGTTCACAGCTATGAATTTCCCTGTGAGAACTGCTTTCATCGTATTCCATAAATTCCGATAAGTTGTGTTTGAATTTTCATTGAATTGTAGATATTGTTGAATTTCTTGTTTAATTTCATCTGTGACCCATTGGTTGCTGAGTAGGGTGTCATTTAATTTCCATATATATAAGGTTTTTTCTGGTTTGTTTTGTCATTTATTTCCAGTTTCATTGCAGTGTAGTTAGATAATGTGCATGGGATAATTTCTGTTTTCTTACATATACTTAAGCATGACCTATGGACCAGTATGTAGTCTATTTAGAAAATGACTCATGTGCAGCTGATAAAAATGTGTATTCAGCTGTGTTTGGGTGGAATACTCTGTATATGTCCACCAAGTCCATTTGTTTGAAGCTCTGGTTCAGTTCTGTTATTTCTTTGCTCAGTTTTTGTCTGGTTAACCTATCTTTTTGGGATAAGGGAGTTTTAAGGTCTCCTGTTAAAATTTTGGTATTGAATATTAGATTTTTCATGTCCAATAAGATTTGCTTTATATATTTTGGTTCTCCCATATTTGGTGCATACATATTTATGAGTGTTACCTCTTCCTCTTGAATTTTTCCCCTAACCAGTATATAGTAGCGTTCTTTATTTTGCTTGATCATTCTTGGTTTGAAGTTGACACTGTCTGAGAATAGGACTGCAACCCCTGCTTTTCTCTGAGTGTCTGGGGCATGTAATATTGTGTTCCGTCCTTTGACTTTCAGCCTATGAATGTCTTTATGAGTTAAATGTGTTTCTTGTATACAGCATATTGTTGGATTTTGTTTCCCAATCCACTGTGCCAGTCTAATTCTCTTAATTGGTGAATTGAGTGCATTTACAGTGATGGTTAGAATTGAGATGTATTGACTTACAATTGACATGTTATTTACCTGTTGTCGTTTACTCTTTTTTCTCATGTGTTTAATTGCTTACCCTATTTAGTTGGTTTCTTCTGATCTCATTCGTGGAGTTCTGATCCTTTTGGTCCCTCTCTAAAACATCTTTCAGTAGCCTGTGTAGCGTTGGCTTTGTCATCATGAAATTCTTATCTGTTCTTTTTCATGAAAGTATTTCACTTCTCCATCAAACTTGAAAGAGAGTTTTGCAGGGTATGGTAGTCTGGGCTCCAATCTGTTTTCATGAAGGACTTGAAGTACTTTGCTCCATGCTCTTCTTGTCTTCATGGTTTGTGAAGAGAAGTGGGCTGTAATTCTAATAGGTTTTCCTTTGAATGTGATCTGGTTTTTTTCTCTAGCGGCTTTCAGTATATTATTCTTGTGCTGAATTTCTGGGATCTTGACTATTATATGTCTCGGTGTGTTTTTCATTGGGTTGAGGTTACTTGGTGTTCTGTTTGCTTCAGTTGCCTGAATGTCAGATTGTTTCCTCATATTTGGGAAGTTTTCTGTTGTTACTCCTGCCCATATTTTTTATTTGCATTGACTCCTTCTTTCTCATTGATGCCTATTAGTCTCACATTGTTCATCTTTGCATCATCTTGCAGGTGATGGATTATTTTTTCCTGCATCCTAGTTGTTTTTAAGAGATCCTTTCTTATCATTTACTAGCTACACCAGCGTTTTCAAGATCTGAAACTCTGTCTTCACTTTCACTTAAACGGTTTTGCAAGCTTGTGATTGAGATTTTAATTTCCTCTATATCTTTTTGACTCTGCTTCACGCGATCTGTTTCTTTCCTGTATTGCTCATTCAAGGAATCTGTCATTTTTCTAATATCCTCTATTATTTTTTTATCACTGAGCTAGTGTCCTCTGCACTTGTTCTGGGTGAGCATTGTGTTTCCTCCATGTGTTTCTGCTTGTGATTCTTTACTGCAGATGTTATTAATTCAGGGATTTCTTTTTTCATTTCTAATCTGAGTTCCTCTATACCTTTCTGCAGCTGTTTCTTTATTTCAGAAGCTATTGATTTATTGCTTTCAGCTGTGTGATTCCCAGTTTGTTCTGTGTTAGTGTCCTCTGCACTTGTTATGGATGGGCTTGGGGTCTGATATTGCATTTGTTCCTTCTCATCATTTTGTGTAGCACTGTCTTCTGACCTTTTTTGTAGATCTTTGTTGCAGTTATAACCTTAGCACCTACTGAAGTTCAGGTGCAGATTTACTCAGTCTGGATTTATCCAGCTGTGACTTGCTTGAGTCTGGCTGGTGTGCTCAGCCTCTTCCTGCTGCTTCCCTTGGGGATGAACCTGTTGTACCCTGTGGCAAGATGTTCTGCTCCTGGACTCGCTTGGTGTTTCTGTCCCCTACTCTCTCTGCAGGGATTGCAGCTGTAGTCTTTCACCCCATGCCTATGCCAGGCCTGAGCTGAGTCTGGAGGGACAAGGTGCAGTAGGGGGAGAGAGACAGCTCTCCCACACATTCATGGGGCCTGGGCTACGACTGCATCTGGGGGTTCCCGGAACATGGCACAAATTCCTACGGGGCAGGCAGGTTAGGGGAGGTGCTGCGGAGTGTTTGGGGCATCCCAAGGTGGTGGAAGAGGGTCTCACCCACACTGTGCTTGGGCTGGGACCAGTAGGTCCCGCCGGCACAGGGTAGCTGGAAGCTCTCCCATACACTCACCCTAGTTATCTTTTTTACCTGAGACCTTGCACTTGCCAGGCAGGTGCTTATCCCACTGAGCTCCACCCTCTTTTTTTTTTTTTTTTTTTTACAATGGTAATATTTTCCATAAAACTTACTGGACATTTTTCTCCTTAAGATTAATAAAATAACAGTGGAATTTACCCATTATCTTCTTTTGTGTAAAAGCAAATGAGGCCTGGTGTGATGGTGTGAGGCTGTAGTCCCATCACTCAGAAAGTCAAGACAGAAGGATCACCACAAGTCTGAGGCTAATCTGGGCTACACAGTGAGTTGGAAACTAGCCTGAACTAGCTAGTGAGACGCTGTTTCAGAAAATGGAATAAAAATACGAACAATAAAGAATAGTAACAACAACAAAAGGACTGATCTACTCTTACAAAAACTAGTTTATGGAATAAAGTAAAAATCACTCATAATCTCATTGTTTAAAGATAACAATTACAAACATCTTGATTGTTTTATTGATGTGCTTCATTCAGTCATTCTCTCCAGATATTTTATCAAGTATTGATACTGTAATTTCCTATTCTACCAATGTTAAACATTTAAGATGTTTCCAAATTTTTACTCTTACAAGTAATATAAAGGTCACATCCATTTTTAGTATTTATTTGTAGCTAATTTCCTATTAATTTTTAGAGCAGCAAACTCTTAACGAAGTTTAGTCTTTAATTTTCTATGTAAGATATGTTGTTTTTACAAAATTACATGATATAATTTTATAATATATAATAAATTTTAAACCACACAATAATTTTATAGTGTATAATATAGATATATGTATCTTTTTAATAGGACCAAGATGAAAAAGATAATACTAAAAGGGTAAGATGATTTTCTTAATATATACTTAAGACATTAAAGAAACCACTAATCGTTTATGGTATGACTCATTTCCTTTTTTTGTAACAGTTCTTATTTCATTATTCGAAGACACAGAAGCTGGGTAATTCAAATGTTGTGGTAAGTTATAAACTACTTGCTAGTAATCACTAGTATTTGCTTTGAAAAATCTGTCTTTGAAATTTAATATAACCGGATAAAATTTCAAATGTTTTTACATTAAAAGTTTATATGCAACTTATTTTATATGTTAATAACTATGTGTACATTAAAATAATTCATTCAACAATTGTTTACAGAGAATCTACTATATCCCAAGCACAATTCACAGTATTAGAAATATAGTAGTAAATAAAAACAAATTTAAAAAAGAAACCCCATCCTGGCTTACATTATAAGACTAACAAAAGCAAGTAAATAAGTAAAATACATTGTTTTGAATGGCAATTAGTGCAAGTGAAAAATAGTTTATCCAAGTTTTTTGAGAATTGCTTTAAAAGATGACTACCAAAAATTTAAATCTAACTAAAATTTCTCACTTCTATCTTTGAGATCTTTATTTCTTATCAGTAATTAAGAATTTGATACGAAAATTTATTAACATTAACCAGAAACCATCAGTAACTTGAATTCAATCCAATTTAAACTCAGCTGGAGGGCTGGCCAAATAGTGCAGCAACTCAAGCACCTGCTTTAGCAGATGCTGGGGCCAGGGTTAGATACCC